TGTGTGTGTGTGTGTGTGTGTGTGTGTTGAGGCGTGTATTGGCTTTCAGGCATTAGCTTAACAAAACAGCAGCAGCTCTTCTTATAATTTTTTTTTCTATGGGGCAGTTTGCTATGGCAGAGAAATGTACTTTAGAGTGTTATGAAAAGCAATACAGAGTTTATACAATTTCTTATAATAAACAACTGTTTTTAATATTTGTTGCTATAACAGAAGACTGTACGTAGCTCTGCTTTGTTCTGTGAACAAGGATGCTCTGCAGAGCTCTCTAGTCCACAGGAAGTTACCCTGAGTATCAGTTAACCAAGGTAATCAATTCTTAAAAGCATATTACTTAATCTTAATGCAAGGAATACCTTTTTTTTTTTAATATGGAGATATACCTATCTCATAGAACTGGAAGGGACCCCAAAAGGTCATCAAGTCCAGCCTGCTGCCTTCACTAGCCAATTTTTCCCCAGATCCCTAAGTGGCCCCCTTAAGGATTGAACTCACAACTGTGGGCTTAGCAGGCCAATGCTCAAACCACTGAGCTACCCCCCCCCTTCATTTTTATATGACTCTCATATAAATATTTTCATATGATGTGTTTCTTTAGCCTTTACCTTGACTGAAACAGTAACTTACTAGTAGTATTCATAGACTCCTCCTATCAGGTCTATTGGGTGGATCTGAGAGAAGTGACAGAAATGCAGCTTATCTCAGTTGCAATGCCTTCAACTGTGTCTGCGGCTTCAAATAGGGAATTCTATAGCCGATGCACCATTGTTATCCTCAATATATTCTCTGGAAGGCCATTTTTAGCCCATTACATATGAATTCTATAGTTAATAAATTTATTGAAATGAAGGCCATCTCTCAGGGAGAGAAGATATTCCACCCCATAAAGGCTTGTGTTACTGCTATACAGCAACCATCTGAGCTTGCAGATGTATTGGGCAGACTGATGATCATATGTATATCTCCACATTCAGATCTGATAAAGTAAAGGTTACAAATCAAATGGCAATTTAGAACATCAAGTCAACATCACAACTTGTCTCATCTACCCATTGAAGGTATAATGCTGCTCCCATATAATTCCTTTATTAAGTTAATACAAACATCACTTTTGTGCTCTCTCCTAGATACAGAAGGCAGTATAATTCTGAGACCAGGAAAAAATTACTATTTATTACTTTATTATGAGCTATCTACATTGTCCCATATGTTTGCACAGTGATTTACATTCAAATAAAATGACAGATCCATACCTCAAGCAGCTTGCAATTTAAAGGGCCACTTTGACGATTGATAGGCTTACATTTAGGCCTTGTTTGCAGGCTTTCACGTGCATGTGGCATGAGTGTGCATGTCAGGTTCCTCCTCTATCACGCTTATCTCCTCCTAGCTTTTGAGGAGGCACAGCAGTGAAACATATCTGAATGTTGCACTCCAAAAGATGATGATTACTCAAGAGCTCAGGTTATATTTTAGAACAGGATATGGCGCATATCCTTAACATTTTCATTCTAATCTAACCTTCTAAGAGCACAAAGTGGATTTCCTACTGTATTTACCTTTGAGTAGATAAATATGTCACAGCTAAATTACTTTATTATACCAGACAGTAACAAAACATTCTTACTTGTCTCTCAGTTGATAGTGACTCCAATGCCCACATATATCTTCAATTCCAGCCTTCAAGTGATCCATCATCTAGAGAAAAAAAATACAACAAACCAATGGTCATAACATGAAATCAATGTCAAAACAATTCTTAGGTAATCAAAGACCAGATTCTAAGGAATTTAGACACTGATTCAAATTAAACAACTCCTAGAAAATCTAAAATTTTATAAAAATCTAGACAAACTTCTCCATATGCCAATGTCTCTGATCTTTTTATTTTTCCTTAAGATTGTTTGATCTGTATAAGTAAATCTGCTACTAATTACCAGACTTTGCAGGCACCTTGATGTGTTTTCAACCTCAGCAGAAATAGCTTTAAAATTTCCAGTTATGAAAGCCAAATTACTATAAGTAATACTATTTTAGATAAAATCATATCTGGCTTCAATATAAAGATAAAAGCACTGAGGTTAATTTCAGGTCAAATTAAAGTTAGCTGCTAACATCTACATATGTGGTTAACTTTATACATATAGTAGTCCCATTAATTTCAATGGGACTACTCATGGGTAAATTTAACCACATGTTTAAGTGTTTTGTACAATTTTGTTAAGCTAGTTTAACAACCTTCCCTCTATCCTACCTGTACATATGATGGGATGTAAACTTAAAGTAAAATGTTTCAGAAGAAAATAAATCACCTTCCAAAATGACTCAGAGTCTTTCAAAATGAATCCTGAGGTTTTATTCATTTGTAACCAACAAAACAGAGTATCCTGATTTAAAACTTTTCTGTTTTTAGTATGTACTCAAGCTGGTCAAGAGATGGTAGTGAAATGAACCACATCTCTGATCCATTGTTGCTTGGCATAGTATGAGCAGCAGTGGAGACAATGAAGGGGCCTAACCACAGATTCAGGGAAATGACTCTGTCTCATTTTACACTCAGTTCACTTTTGGAAATCGTTCTTCTCAAGCATAAGGACAAGAAACATTTTAATGAGAGCTTAGATTTTGCAGAAGTTGGTGGCACTTGCTGGGAAAGATGCCTACTCACTATGGTTGTGCCTACACTTCAATCAGAGCTGTGACTGTAGCACATGTAGACATAATCTGAGCTAGCTTTGATCTAACCTAGCTGGAATAACAATAGCCACTGTACAAGCCCACCTGGGACCTGGGTATGTAGTTGAGCAGTTAAACCCATGCTGCCGCAACTTTGCTGCTATTTTTATTCCCGTTAGCTAGATCAAAGCTTGCTTGGGTGTGTCTATCTGTGCTGCAGTCACACCACTGATTGCAGTGAGGATATACACTACGTGTGAGCTGGTGAGTGGATTTTTCAAGCCTGACTTTTTATTGTTAGGATGCTGGGATTTTTCCTTAATGGCTACAAAGTGTCAAGGTAGAGAGGCTGGAATCCAACTGCTACATTGTTTCATTGTTGTGTCTTTATAAAAAGTTCCATTCTGTAGTTTTGAAATTATAATGAGGTGGCATCCATAT